TCGAATCTGGTTTTAACCAATATTTATTAACAAACTAAACGATTTCAGCGAGCAATGGCAACACTGTACGGAAAAACATTTCTATCTCCAGCGCGTGAGACTGTCGGAAATTCTGAAGATGTGCTGCGTTTAAATATTTCAAGACATTGCTGTTGCTTATATTGTATTAACATTTTGTGACATTGTGGTTTAAGTGCAAAGAACATGATATTTAATCAATAAATGTAACACAAAAAATGTTAAAAAAAAGGCCCTTTGGGTTTAATATAAAATCTGAAAGCTTTCAGATTTTTTTTTTAATCTTTAGATTAAATTTTGAATGCGAAAACTATTAACACAAGTTACTGTTTTCTTTTTTCCTAAACTTGCCTCTTAGAAGTAATTTTTTTTACACATCACTTTTTAAGCATTTCCAGGAGTGATGCACACCTGAAGTTTGACTGTGTAAGAGATAACATACTGCGATGCTCTCAGTATTTCAGCGTTTGTTTTAAAATACTATACAGTCTGAATAAAAGATATCCTCGGATGATGAACAGTGTCTGGATTAAGAACACTCAAACGGGCAGCATATGATTTTCAAAGGTATTATGAGGTAATCCAGGCCACATAATTGACAGTCAGGCAGTTCTGAAAGCATAATTTTTTACTTAACTTTTCATTAACCAAGCTCAGCAGCAAGTGAGTTTCAGGATCATGAATTTGGTCTGGAGGAAATTACGGCCAGATTGGGCCGCAGGTATCTAATTTGAGTATTTAGGAAGTTTTTGTGATTGTCACTAGGCAAAACCATGGCCCAGGATGTTAACAATTAAACACGGAGGTAGTTCAAGAGAACCATAAAAATGTTGTTGTGTTAAGCATAATAGCAAGGGCAGTTCGTTTGGACTCCGCAAAGAAGAAACCATTTTAAATTTTGAAAATTTGACCCGAAGTCTTGCCGGCTTGTATCTGATTCGAAATTGGATGAAAATGAATCTATTACTTGTCCACCGTGCTGAAGTCAACCATAGGCATTTTGTCTAGGAACCAGTTTCGAGCTGACAAATCGACACATCTGAGGTTCTAATATAGCAATAAAAAGCACAACAACCAATAAATAACCAGGGAGCTTTAAAGAAAGTGTAATAAACTATGCTACAATATTTGAAATATCACGAGTTTTCAGTACAAATCCCAGTATTAATGCCACATCTTTATGCCCTAGTTAAAAGACAGAAAGATTTAAAACTTTTAAAACACAAAAAATCAGTATGACAGCAAGAAATAAAACAACCAACAGAAAAATTGTCATTTATATTCATTAAGTTTAAACGTTTTTAAAGTGACTTAAATGGCAAGAACAAAGTGCAAACAAAAACATTTCTCCAATAAATGAAAAAAGAGCTCTAAAAAGAACATGAGTTTAATAACGTTAAGTGATGGGGGAAACATTAATCAAAAGACTAAGCAAAGAGTAGACAAAAATTGTTGTCGAGTATATCCAGAGCAAACATCCACTGAGGCTACTCTTCAAACTTATTTGTCGGTGTTGTCATAAAATAGATTTGCTTTTAGTAGACACAGCGGGGTTTCGTGTCTGTTGAATGTAACGGGTAGTACCCTCAGCTAACATATAAGTTTTATTTATTAACCTTTTATTTATTTATTTTTTCAAAATTTCTTTGTGTAGACTTATTTCATTTTTACTAAACTGGGATGTTGCTGATAAATAAAATTCCAGAAGTTTTTTGGAGAAGTTTATAAACAGCTTAATAATGGATTCCTAATTTTATAAATACCTTTCATTAATGTGTCAAAAACTTTGGTCTTAAAAATTAAACAATTTTTAAAGGAGAATATAAAAAATAAAAATAATCAGTAGGATTAAATAACAAAAACTAGCAGGTTTTCCTTAACTGATAACTTCGGTGCGTGGTTTACGAGTTTTCCGTACATGACCCGTTGAAATAAAGTAACTATCACAAATCTAACTCATTTAGTGATTTTTTGTGAAACTTTCATGATTTCTTTTAAAATTAGCGGCGACTTAATCCTTGTACGATCTGTTTCGAAAGGATTGCCTGATTACGTATTTCCTAAATACAGAACCGGGTTTGCAGCTTAAGAAATGAATCAATTGAAGTTGGCTTTTGAAAGATTTCAGTTTGGATTTGTAATATCTTTCCTTAGCAATAAATAAAATACCAATTTTTAAGCCTGCTTCATAGAAACGATGTTTCACCGATATAGTACCTTATCTACTCTCTTTCTGGCGGGTGTAAAATCATTCGTCCAAGTACATATTATGTGGGGCATCCTGAGCATTTTTCTGAGTTATGAAGGATCGATGGGTTCGGCTGTCATTCCCAACGAATATTAACTAGAATGTTTCCGAGAGCTGGAAAAAGTTGTCATAAATTTCCTCTTAAAAATCTTTTCCTGTCCTGCTCAATATTAAAAGAAAAACATGAAATGAAAATCATTCTGTAATACGAAACAGACGCTCTGAAAATGTTGTCAGTTTCATAGGATTGTGAGAACTCTCATTTAAAATGAAAATTTCGTTTTAAGGGTCCCATAACACCACGTTATGTTAAATAAATGTTACGATTTTTAACATCTGAAAAAAAAACTATGAAATGAAAATCATGTCTTTCGTACACATGATTTAAAATAAAAAATTTTCTGTTATAAACTCCATTCATTCATTTACACATAAAGCTTTCTTAACAATTTGCAAATCTGCTAACATTTTAATACTCCTGAAACGTTTAATCAATTCGGGATAGTGCGTCCATTTTGAAACAAGACAAAATCATTAGATGAGACTTCTATTTCTATTATTTGACTTTATTTTCGAGTTCTGTCCATTGTTACCACAGTTGCAGAAACTCCCTACTCTCTCATATTCTCTACTTTGTACTCATCGTCTAAAGCAATTGCAACAGTGGACAGAACTGAAATGTGTTAAAAGAATAAAATGACATATTTAATTCATATAAACAATTAATGTATTGCCGCTTTTGCACATATCGCACAAGTTCTGTAGCAATTACATGAGTTTCTCTTTGTGTAGTCGATTATGTCACAGCATACGGCAGCTGTCTGCCAGAGAAGGGAGTTGCATTAGACTAAACTTCTAAAAACCCACCGCATGTGTTTAATAGACATCACATTTGAGTCGTAATATGTAAAAACTACACTTTTGGTTTCGAAATGAAACATGATATTGGAACAGGAATGTGTTTACGAAGTATGGGATCTTCGTCACTTGAACCTTGGTGCTCATTATTTTAAGACACCATTATCTTTTTTATTATCTTTTAATCATTAAATGACCCTTAAACCTAGAAAGCAAGGTCTTTCGCCACTTGTGTGATTTTATAAATTCAACTTTGGCTGCAAAATAGAGTTTACTAAATTTTTAACACAGCGACTCCACTTCTACGCAGTTGAAAATTATGACAATTCTATGTAATAACGGTCGAATAAAAAACAATTCTGCATAATTATTACAACTTAGACAACAATTGACAAAACAGCTGTAATTTTATAAGAAATAATTACGGAACAAAATAGAAGAATAAAACATTTTCGATGCGCATTTTAGTAACCACTGGTTAAACAATAAAATGTGGGAGGGAACTTCATATTAGTATTTCTGATGAAGTGCGTTCAGTCTTCCTTTTAAATGTATCGAGCTTTCTTTTTATCGAATTTACTACTATTAGCCAATTAAATGCTGAATTCCGATTTTCAAAAAACTGTCACTTTATTTTAGACTAATGATCTAATTTCATTCTAGATATTTTTTATGATCAAAGTTCCTATAATCGCCGCCTACTCCTTGGATTAAAAAAAGAAAAATACCTTTTTTATATATTTTAGTCTTCATTATGTTTATTTTAGCTCCGAAAACTCTCTAGTTTGCATAATTGAAAATAAAGGCCACAAATAAAACAATTGGATGGAATTGCATATATAAAGTGAACATTTTACAAAACAGCTGTAATTATTTAAAAAAAAGTACTTACAAAATATTTTGAAACTTTTATTAGCAAACAGAACAGATGAATGATTATATATTTATTAGCATGTGGAATTAACTGTTTAGTTTTGTCTAATAGTTAATTTTGAGTTACGTAACTTTTCCGTCGCTCTCCTTTTCACCCACGCTTTTCATACAAGAATATAAATGAGACAGCGAGCGTTTATTCAGACTGAGGGAGAAAGAAGTGCTGTTGAAGAGAAGGTTTTGCAAGTTGATTTTACAGTGAGTTCTGCCTACTTGAGGTCACGCTATTACCGTGACTAAATAGCGATTTGATTCTATGGCGTTGAGTCTTAGGTCCCATAGGCTTGTCTCGCCGGACAAACCAGAGCTTTCCTGCGCGTTATTTTATCCTATGAGCGTTATTTTATCCTATTAGGTTAATCTAACTACATTTGATTTTAGTTCAACATTACTTGCGTAAGGTAAGCCACAAGTGATGGCTCGTGTTAACCCAAATTGGGTCATTATTATTTCTTTGTGTTCAAATAATAGGCCTTATACACCCTTTTTATGACATTTGTTTGTATCATAAGACTTGAAGATGATTCATCTACAGTCCTTTTTTAGAGCTTATTAGTGTATACTTCCTAAACATACTAGACGTTATAAGCAATACATTAAATCACGAAGTTAAAAGTATTTACTCCCACTAGAATTTACTTCATTCTCCATTAGATATTTAGTAGTAAGTAATAGTGATACATATCCGCCTCATAATATGTTTACAGTCTGACATTATTCATAATATTGGCTGAGATTACAATCAATTGACATAAAATATACAGTCTACAATTCAAAGACAAAAGGTGAAATCTTATCAATCGCTGTTGTAAATAAGGATATGAGCTTAATCATTCTTCGGCGATAGCACAGGAACATATGGAACATTCACTAGGTTTTTTTTTGTGATAGCAAAAAATGTTATCAGTTGCTGTAATGATATTTGAGACTTTAACTCTTTTTTTTTCGCCTGTTTCAGAATGGGAATATAAAGGCGATCAACTCATACAATTGTGATTAGGTGATATCTGGATCTTTCAGAAGCTCCTTCAATTGTGATTTGCATTTCAGCGAAAAATGAAGTGGTTAATTTTAGCTTTCTGCCTCGCTTGTGCAGTAGTAAGTATACTGTTGTTTCTCTAAAACTGTGTACTATAAAGAGAATTTAAACTAATTATATACATATAACATTTAATAATGAAACTAACAATTTGTATTTACGACTGATTACTAATTACTTATATTAGAGTTTGTAAATTATTATACTAAACAAGCTTCTTAATCGCTTACGATTGAAATAACTACCATTATTGATAAGATAGTAAGACTTAATCAAGAAATTTATATGCAAGAGATGCTATTAAAATTCTTTTTTCATCTGCATGATAAATTTTTATAAGAATATTAAAATTTCATACTTTTAAGTAATCACATAATCAGCACCAATTTTTCGTGTTTCCAAAATATTTGTGCTATAATTGTAACTCTTTTATTTTGCATGGTACAATCAAGTACCAGGCTTTTTAAATAACTGAGGGACTTAAATTTTCTACATAATAACTGTATCCCTACGCATAAAGTATATGTTTGCTTTGAAAAACTTCCAACTTGGTGTACTTCCTCTTCGGACGCGAAACGTTCTGTTTGATATACGATATTTGTTTGGAATGCGATTGAGCTTGATGAGTCACGACATCCCGCACTACAGTACTGTATCTCTTTCGAGACAATGCTTAGACTGCCCATCAGCGTCAGTACGCCTGTGGCTACTATTTAGTAAACAACCCTTGTTATAACTCCGAATTTTCAAGTGACTTTGTGTTTCTTAGGGTAAATCTTTTGTAAACTAATTAACAATGAATTTTATTAAAGAGAAGAGTGAAGAAACGAGGAAAATTGTTAGGATCATCAAGGAGATGGAAAAGGAGACTGTTGAAAAGCATGAAGATAGCTTAAATATCCATGACCTGGGCTGTATGTCTAGTACGATGGTGTCAATCTAGTGAGAAATAAAGACGGTTTTAAATCAACTTAAGTTGCGAAAAGGATTACAAAACAATTTATTTGTATTTTAGATTGAACGGTGTTGCAATAATAGCAATACGACTTTTTATAAGAAAGAACTAATTATTTTCCCATTATTTCTTTTTTTGGGAAATTTTGTTCCCAAAAAACCCCAATTTTTGGTCTGGAATGGATTAATGACGTATACCGAGGCACCATTATACTTAATTTATGAATGATTAACTTCACATTTTAAATATCGTATATTTTGTAACAAATGATTCAGGTAAGTAACAGTAAAAATTATTATTTAGGAATATTAAATAAATGAAAAAGGAATAGATTAATTTAATTCATACAGTTGGTGTAGCATGAAATACATTTTTCTCGTCTAATACATGAAGCACGGGAGCAGATTAACTCACAACTGTTAATTAAATAACTGTATTTATTATTTTGTACTCTGCATGAAATTTTAGATTACAGTTTTGGGTTTACAAGATTTTGTTATTAATCTTTCAAGAAATTTAAAAATAGATTTAAATTTAAAAAAATTACAAGATTAAAAATAAATTGTTATCTGTTGGTACGTTTAGTTTCGGCGTACGTAGTTCAGTGAAGTACGTTAAGTTTAACGCAGAAAACAATTTTCAATTAAGCATTTAACGACAAGAATACTAGTTTAAGAATTAGTGCCTCTAAAATTGAAGTTATATCTAGCATCTATAAGTAAAGCTACATTATTTGTTTCCTGGTTGAAAAGTGAATTTAGAAAATTTTTAAAAAAATGCTGAGTCGATTGAAAATATTTTCTGACAGTTTTGAGACCAAACCAGAAAAGCTCAGGTATCCCTCCTCAACGTCTGGCGAAAGGGCGACGTTTTATAGCCTCTGGAAAGGCGGAGCTTCCAAGAAAATGACGTCAGCCTCGTCAGCCAATCCAGTTCTCTTTAAATATTTCCAGAACATTCTATAACTGTACGTGTAGAAAAGGCGGGAAAAACAACTTGACGACGGGCTGTGGATTTAATTTCACGTACTTTCAAAAAGAGAACGTCGCCATTAAAATGGAAAGAACATACATTTAGAATTTTAAGTGTATTCTGATTATGGATTCTTATTAAGATATGTATATTATTTACTAATGGAACACAGAATATACAAGTATTATATCCTTATATAAAGTTAGTAGAACTGTATCTGAATGAAGTAACCCAGAAGCATTGAAACTGAATCCCGAAAATACTTTTTTCCAAAAACAAACTTTAATTTTAATCATAAAAAATAGAAATTGAAACTTTTAAAATGAAAATTAATCAATAAATTAAGTAATTGTAAATAGTATAATTACTGAAATAATTGTATATAATGTAAAAAATTGTTGCATTCTGAAATTTTCTTATTCCGTTTTGCTTTTACTAAAAAATGAGCCTATTTCAATACTCTAAGTCTGCTAAATAGCTCGTTAGCAAAGAAGGTTACTTCTTTTTTTTCCTCGTTCCGCTACGACAATTAGCCAGAATTTAATTAATTTCCTTTCAATGATCAGTATAAAATCAAACTTTTAACAGACGCATTTACACTCGCAAAAGAGCTCCCCAACCACTTACTTCCCGCATTCCAAAAGTAGCTTCTCAAAGGTTCCCGACTGTAATAATTAAAAGGGTCCCTCTCTGCTTCTCTCTATATCTTGGATCGCATACCAAACTCCTTCTGAGTAAGAAAACAGACACGAGCACTTCACCGTCCTTCCACTCGAAAGAATGTAAGTTAATTAATTCATATTCTGGCCATTTATATATATTATGTACATTTAAATTTGTACATTTTCTTGTACCTTTATTTTATATCTTTCATTTTCAACTTTTACATTTCATTAATTTTGCAAAGATTACATTTTTATTATGTTTATAACGATTACTTTGAATTATATTTCATAAATATGACAAAGATTACATTCCGTTTATTATGTTTATAAAGATAGCTTTGAATTAGCATGCATGAAAGCGAGTGTGTCGGGGGACGCTTTCCTCAAGTAAAAGAGAAAAAAGTTTTATTACTACTTAATTTAGCAAAGAAATTTTGTACTACTACTCAATTTAGCAAAAATATCTCAAAATATCTAAAATATTCTTTACAGAACTGTTACATTCGTAATGAATTCTATATAGTCCTTCACATTTATTTCACTAATTGGATTAAACTCAGCTTACAAGTTTGGCTTAAACTCAAATTACCAGTTTGGCATCATACTTCTTACTTGAGTAAAAGACGAAACACCTTCGCGTTTATTAATTATTACTAATTGAACGGAAATTGTTTGTTCCCCTTGAAAAGTCAATCAATGACGATAATTACTTAGTTTATTGATTAATTTTCATTTTACAAATTTTCATTTCTATTTTTCATGATCAAAATTCAAGTTTCTTTTAAAAAAAATATTTTCGGGATCAGTTTCAATGCTTCTGAGTTACTTCCTTCAGATATAGTTCTACTAACTTTATATAAGGAGAAAATGTTCTCAATATTCCATTAGTAAAAAAATTATTATTATATTACTTTGCAGCTATTGCGCAAGTATTAGGAAATTTATTTCGATAACAATGAATTTCAATTAAGTAATTCAATTTTTGATATATATGAATATTTACGGAGGCTTAATGTATTTTAAAAGAGAACGCAATACATAATATTTAAGTGTTATGGCATAGATCAAAAAGAATTAACACCATACATAAAATCTTATCTTACAGCAAGTGGCTGTTAGCAAGAAATGCAACTCTGCAGAGGATTGCGGGGAAGGTGAATGCTGCGTTAGTTATGTATTCGTGTCCTCTTGCCAAAAATTAAGAAATGAGGGTAAGTTGTTTCGTTAACCCTCCTTAAATTGTAGGGCATGTAAATACGCTGAAACGTTAACTCAGGCTGTGTAAATGTGAACATGCTTTGCTAGGAACATTTCCTAAAACTTTACGGTATTTAGAAAGCTGCCACTCCCAAATGAAGTTTGTTAACTCGAATTGTTTAGACTATTTCAACAAAACTATAGTTTTTTGATTAGTTCTCTTTTTAATTCAATACGAAATTGCTGAAGTTTGTAAGATTTTGTTAAATGGTTAAAAAGTAAAATCAAACTGCGTAAATTTCAAGAGACTTTGATAGGAACATTTTACTGAAATTTCCTAGAAACGTAAGGTATTTAAAATGCTGTCGCTCTCAAATGAGGTTTGTAAACTCGGATATTCAGAATATTTCAACAAACCTATAGCTTTTTAATTAACTTCCTTTATAATTCGATGAGAAATAGAGGGAAAACATTCCGTCTAAATCCTGATTCAAAATGTATTATATCCGTAACATTCCATATTCGAAAATAAATTACAGTAGCTATCAGTAAATTAGCATTCCATCCAGTTTGCCTTATAGAGCTAATGACACACACAGGTCAAAATTTAAAAGGAAGGCTTTCATGACGCATCACAACATGACCTATGGAATCGTAGCGAAATATAGACTTACTTGTGACTGCCATTGCAGCCCTATCTTGGAACGTAATCGTATCCGCCGATTATCTTGCCCGAAATTATGTATTTTTTAATTTTTACGCTACTATAGCACTGGGCATCTGTTATATAGCTTGTTCTAATTAAGACTTCCAAAGCAACAATCTGCTAATTGCACCACCAATGATACATGGTATCTAAGTGCTTAATCTGTAGCTCTCCTCGGAATATTTTTGCTATTTCGTAGTAGTGTTTTCTCTTCTTATGTTATCACAATATAATAGTAAGTGTACAAAATATTTCACAAAGATTCAAATGTCAGCATTTTTATTCCTGAATTGGCATAGGCCTTAGTATTCTACCGCTTTTAAGTGGTGTTTGATGTGCTTCGATAAAAAACATCGGATAGCATATCAGGTATATTCTATCGAAATGAAATCAGGAAATTTTGACGGATGAAATATATGTAAGGTAACTTCTGACTGAGGATAATTTTAAAAAAATTGTCGATGTAATGGCTACTACCACCCATTAATACAAAATCATTTCTAACTAGCTTTCAGCATTATTACGATTTATTAGTGAATGCTACTCAATATCTCTGATAGTCAGTCGGTTTTCTATTTAAATCTGCTTATGTTTCTTTTTAAAACCGTATTTTGTAATTCAGTTTCATTTTACATATAAACTTAAAACATTATCGTTAGTGTACCTAAATGTGTACTCCCTTTAAAACTGATGATAGTCCAAGATAATATCTGTACTTTCCTATTTAGGAGAGTCCTGCACACCTTTGGTAAAGGAAAGTGATCAGAATCCGGACAAGTACCACTTCCAGTGCCCTTGCAAAGAAGATCTTAAATGTGTTGCTACATATAAGCTCAAAATTGGAGAAGTAAGTGTTAAATACCCTGCTCGTAGATTGTAGAACTCCAATTAACTCTAAAATCGCCCTTCAGTAATCTTTTCATAAGTTTATTATAGATCTGAATTAAAGTGAAAAGGAAGTAAAAATCATATGCCCCCAATAACGAGTTTGGTAAAAGTTATATATTAACATGCGTCTGATTCTGAACATTTTTGATTCCCAAACTTTTAGTCAATAAACCTTTGGTCATAAAACCAGTGTTACATAAATGAAAAAGTTTCAAGTTGCTTCAAAAACTAATATTTTTTAAATTAATTATTTCATCTCAATGTTTATACTCAAGGTTTCACAAGATAATTTAGCTTTGGGTGCTTTCAGAAATGCTCAGAAATAATTAAATATTTCAAAAGCATGCTCTTTTCCATTTTCCAGGTCAATATTTTTAATCACATGCTTCTGAATTTTTTATTTCTTGCTACATATCAATACTTGTCGTCAGATGATCAAAAATTTTCACATTAAATTTAGGAACTGCATATAAGATTTAACTGTCAAATTGAGCTTTTATAACTGGCATACGAAAACTTCTAATCGGTATTGTTTCAAGAGCGTAATCTTTCAGAGAACAAAGCAAAGTATACTAGAGCGGCGTTCGCAGCTGTTAAATTAAAAGAATGAGAGAATAAAAATACTTAAAGGGATAAAGAAGCAACATTTGGCGTAAATTTTGAATAAAACTCTACTTCTGCCTCTTCTTGCAAAAGCATATTTTGTCCTGAAGAAGCAGGACCTGTGTTGGACTGCTTTCGAAAACAATAGTGTGTGTGTGTGTGTGATTATGGTAAAGTCTCGAGGGCTATCTGCCTAAGGGGAGGGATGCCTTCGCAGAGGACTTTCTAAGGGAAACTGGCTCGTATACACGTTACACATGGGGAAAACCTCGAAACGCCCATACAGCCAGCCCGTTCGCGGGACTCAAACCTCCAACCGAACTACTAGTGCTCGGTGACTTTACCACTCTGCTGGAGGGCCGAAAAGAATAGAGCTTTATTCTAAATATACGCAAAATCAAGGTTTATCAAGTTTAGGCAAAATCAAGTTTTCTTTTTTGCATAATTAAAACTTTTAAACTGGCGTGTTTTTGTAAAGAAAAAATTTTATATAAAAAGAATGTTACCAGACTAAACCATAACAAAAGTTGCTTCCTGTGGTGTTACTGGCGTGATCGCCAAAAGTGATGATACTAAAAATATCAAGTACAAATTAATTTTGCGTAAATACTTAAACTAAAAGTTAGTGTTTAGTACATTGCATAATCATTACTAAATAGATTAACAAGACTTACCCAATGACGCATGCATGAGCCGAATATTTTCTTTTTTCAATGCTCATATTATTTTATCGAACATTTTTCTGGATTAAATAAGGCAACATTTATCACACACATATAAAATACTAAAATATCATAACTTAGATACACACAATGCGATAACTCAAATGGAATGTTCGTGGAGTGCCGAAGCGTGACTATTCGCGCAATCCTGTCCCATCGAATAATTTTGCGGTTGAAAAGTTGTCATAGTCATTTTCGTATTATCGCGCTGTCTGGTTACACACTTGTAAGCTCTTCTTTTTTTACATTCACGTTATTTTTACACACTTATCATCACGTGGTGACACATCGCTGGTCAAGCACATCTTGAAGTCGAACACCTAATGATATTCTGCTTGAGCATTTATTTCATGTTATTCACATCAGCAGGACTTAGTGAGTCTCAAATCAAACACTCTACTTTAGGTACCGAATCTCTTCATTCTGCTTCTTTCTCTGCAAAAATACGACGACATTCCACGTGCAAAACTAGACAGGAGCAATGGCGACTGCTGAGAGTGTGTGTGGCCCGAAGGCCCACACACTCGTTAACACGACGTCAGGCAGCAATAGGGGAAAGAGGGAAAAGAGACAAACCAGTCCTTCCAGTTTTTATACCTTTCGACACACGTGCTCGCGCGGGTGTCCGCCGATAACATCGCGGACGAAAACGTCGCGGAGAAAACAACGCAAGGCGAAAACGTCGTGCTACAAAACAATCGTGGAGAAAACAGAGAAACATCGCAGTTCTAAAACATCGTGGTACAAACATCGTCGTCGAAATAAAGCGGTCAAAAACTTCGCAGTTTAAAAACATCGTCGTCAAAATATCGTGGTAAAAAATAAAGTATCTACAAAGTTATCGCATGACGATAACCGCAACATGCTTTTTCAGGCTTTAATAACTGTAAATGGATATTCCATATGATTTGTGAGCGCAAGATGTAAAGAAGATAATTTTTAGTTTCATATTTTTTTAAATATTAAATTTTTGCTGAGGAAATAAGAAGGAAACCTTAAGCATAGAAAATTAAGGCAACTTATAGCATTAATAGATTTTTAAACCGACATAGTTAACTAACAAAGACCATTAAAAATCATTTTTATAAAGTTTTACAGGTAATTTTTCAAAAAGTATATTAAATTGCATTTTTTTCTATGCTTAGGTTCCTTCTTATTTTCAGCAAAAATTTATTAGTTAATAAAAAATGTGAAAGTAAAATTATCCTTCCTTACATCCTTGCGCTCACAATCGTGACTGAAAAAACAATACAAGAATATATGTAGCCACAATTACGCGTGATAACGATACAAGAATCGTATGTTCTGTGTTCTCACATTCCCTCCGGCCGAAGAAAAAAAAATTGTCCCATCACTGGACAAATGAAATCCCCCTCTGCTGGACACACTTGAACTTTCGTCTGCATTACATACACATTTCACACCAATCTTTACATCATTTGCAAAGGCACTGCACTTTATCATTTCGTTGGCACTCCATAAACATTCCTCATTACATGAACACAGTTGAGCTTTCGTATGCACTATCACACATATTTCACGTAAATATTTCACATTGCTTGAAAAAAAAAAAAAACACAGCACTTAAAACATTTTGTGATATATATTTTTTACATTAGTATTATTCTTTTACGTACTCATGCATGTCTACTCTTTACCTAAAATATCACCACAGATGCTATTCCAGGCAATGAAAATTTGGCACTTAAGACACATAATTTACAATTCACATATGATTAAATATCCAATCAATCACTTAAACTAAGAACATTTGCATTATCAATTTTGATGGAACTCCTCTTAACCATTGTTTACCTTATTTCATTCTTTACATTTTAGAATCACATTCACTATTTCATTACATAGCTACTTTTATCATTTGATCATATTCATTTTACATATACATTTCATATACCAATATGTCATGACATTGTTACAAGCTACATTTGTATTAGATCCACTACTAAATTACATACCTTCAATTTGATTCAGCAGTACCTAGACAAAGGATGATTGAACCACACATTTTTTTTTTTTTTTTTTTTTTTTTGTACATTTTTTTGATTTGCTGATCTACAATTTACAATTGTGTTACACTCCTAATCCTCATTTTTGTGTTGAATCTACTCTTGAAGGCTTTTGTAAAAAACAATTTACTTACGTGAACTTTAGTGGTTTTATTCTCTAATTGTATTATATAATTATCATTTCGTAGCTTTTTAATGATCTCATATGGCCCCTTGTATTTTGGATGTAGCACCCTTCGATCAGTAAATTCCTGCATAAAAACTTTATCCCCTGATTTCAATTCTGGAATTTTTCTCCCTTTCAAATATTTTTTTGCACAATTAAAGTATTCATCCTCATTTAATTTTACTTGTTGCTTATCTCTACTCAATTGTTCCTTTATTCTTTTGGAATATTCCTGGAAATCTTCTGCTAATTTAAGAGGATCATTGCTATCTATGGGAGTATTTAATGTTCTACCGAAAAATAGTTCTGCTGGTGAAAATTGAGTTACAGAATGTTTAGCATTATTATAATACAGTTTAAACATCAGTACTTTTTGTGGCCATTCAAATATTTTGTTTGATATTGCTGCAATTGATTCTTTCATTACCCTGTGAACTCTTTCAATCAACCCATTGGACTGTGGATAATAAATTGAACTTTTTCTGTGTTCTATTTTAAGCGATTTTAAAAATTGAGTAAATTCTGTGGAACAAAAATAGGAACCGTTGTCTGATAACAAAATTTTTGGAATGCCAAATCTGGCAAAATAATCATTTAAAGATTTTATGATGGATTGAGAAGTGCAGTTGTTTAACGGAACTGTTTCCAAATATCTGGAATAATGATCAATGATAGTGAGTACATAAAACTTATTATCTATGGATCTTGGCAGTTTACCAACTATGTCTATAGCTATCATCTCTCCAGGAGCAAGATCTTTCTTAGGAATTAGACGTGGCAGAGTGTTGTGAGGTCTAGACTTATTTTGTAAGCAATCTGAACAATTTTCTACAAAACTTTTCGTATCGCTGTACATACCTTTCCAATAATACTTTGCCTTTACAAACTCATATGTCTTTTGAATACCAAAGTGAGGCGCATGAACTGTCTGTAATACATCTTTAATTAATGCCTTAGGAATTAGAATTTTATTCTGGATACTTCTGTCTTTCTTTCTCATATTTACAGGTTTTAATTTTATCATTACTACATCTGTATGACTATCAATAAAATATTGTTCTACACTTTCTTTGTGGTTATCCTGTAATTTTTTTATAATTGATTTTATGTCTGGATCACTTTGCTGTTTACTAATTATGTTTTGAATAGACAAATTATCATTGGTCTTAAATATATTTACATTGTTTACCACTACATCCTCTGAAACTCTTGACAAGTAGTCTGCTGGGGTTTTTTAAACCAGGAATATGCTCCATCGTCTAATGAAATTCCTGTAAATATAACAACCAACGTGCTACAATATCTGGCTGTTTGTCAAGACTAATATGGAAAGTCAGAGGTTTAGCATCCGTTAATATTATAAATTTTTTTCCCATACAGATGTTCGTGAAATTGCTTTACTGATCTGAAGATTGCATAAAGTTCTCTCCTAATTGAAGGA